GGGGGGGGGGAGCAGGGAGCAGAGGAGCGTCTTACTTTTGTATTCCTGTGTGGTTGTGGAGACACACACAGCTTACTAGCATTTAAAAAGAGTGGCTCCATAGGACCCTGCAAGGGAAAGGAGCCACCATAAAACAGGAAATAATGGCCATGGCTCAGGAAACCAGCTGATTCTCCAGGGAGCTAACATTTTTAAACATCAAGAAGCAGCCTCCATTTGACGGTGATTTAATCAGCATTTGAAAGAGCTTAAAAACATTTTGGCTTTAAAAAGCAAGCTTTAAAAAAAAAAAACACCTCCAGCTCAGCAAGCATTTTAGCAAACTTTATTACAAATCCTCATTTGCTTCTGTTCTGCAGATATTGAGATCGTACCAGTACACTTGTTCTAATTAAGTTATCAAATTGCTCTAAGAAGGGTCTGTCTTCACTATAATCGTATTACTATAATCACATGTTGCACTTTTGGCATCCCTCTATCCATACAGCATTTTTTGCAAGTACCTCAGCAAAGATAAAAGTGTCATTATAAACCTAAAGACATTGTAGGGGATTTCCTAATTGTGTAACTGTTCCTCTGGGGTTTCCTCAGTCATTATGCTGTTCCGTACCTTAGCCAGTTACTTCCTCTAATGGGGACATAAACACAACAATAAAAACTTAAACCTAGACAGCGGATTGGTTCCACGGGAGCACTGAAATACAGTGTGCTCGGTTATGCCAACTGCCACCAGCTCCTGTGGTCATAGGCTCTCCAACACCTCACTAGTGGTCCATCACTGTAGGGCCTTACTAACCAAAAGTATAGTATGGAAGGCTAAGAGCTTGAATGCAAACCAGTAGGTGGCTATTTGCATAACAGAGTGATGCAGCTTTCAAGGCTCCTGTGGTGCTCTACAAGAAAGAGGAACTGGCATGCAGGTACCCGAAGTCCAGTGAGCACAGCCAGCATGATGAGGCAGCCCTAGGGGGTGTGTGTCTAAGACAGTCTGGGCTCACAGTAAATGGGTAGCATGATGCGGACAGTCTGTTGGGCAGCAGAGGAAAAAAGGGACAGCACTGGATCATGGAGAGGGTAAATAGAACTTAAATCACATGTTTTCTTCAATACAGGAGGGGGGAGAAGTCAAACATTTAAAAATATATACTTTTTTTAACTTAAATTATCTATATACATGAAACTAACAATATCAAAATTTTTACACAAATCTTAGGAAAGATCAACCTAAATCTGCCAAATGTCAATTGGCCCTACTAATAATTCGAACAATTCCAGCAAACATAATAAAAACATACTAGCTGGGAGATCCGTATTGACAGAAATTTGTTCATACAGGTAGATGATAAGCAAACAATGTATTACAGTGCTGGAGGATCTAAAAGTGACAGCTTCCCCTCCCTGCCAAGCAGTTAGAATACATGAACAGTGGCTGCAGCTCATCGGTTGGAGGAAGCATTTCCTCAGTTTTCTCTACCCCAGTGATCAGATTGGTTAATTAATGATAATCCAGTGATAGTCTGTCCGTGAGAAAAACTTCGCTCCCCTCAAAACAAAAGGATTTGTTACACCCCACCACTCATTATCGGAGTATCGGAGTATTTGCACGAGTACGAGTACTCATGCAAATACTCGGTATCGCTGCCGATACCGATGCTTGTATCGGTATCGGTGCATCCCTAGTAACAACATAGTAAAAGAATGCAGGACAGACTTATTTGTGTCACATACTTATGAATAAATGTATAGGCTTCAGGATTTACCGGAAATTGGTACTTTTTTAAAAATTAACATTGCCATGTATAATGCCTAAATAAAGATGGTGCCACTCTTCAGAGGAAGTACTGATCTTGTTCACAAATGCGACAAAACAAGAAGGTAGACGTGCATTTTTAAAGCTCTCCAACCACCTGCCAACGCAACTAAGGCTAGGTTCACACCTCAGCGACACCAAGAACGCACGTCCCGGGTGTCGCGTGATTGCGTGCCAGTGCACACAGCGGTTGCAAGTACCTAATTGCGACACACGGCAAGCGGCCTTTTTAGCCACGATCCTGTTTAATTGCAATTGCGGGCGGAAACCGTGCGATCCGCCCAGCGTGCCTGGGTGCCATTAGAAAACAATGGCACCCACAGCGCGATCGGCTGCAGTGGGCAACTCCGTGACCACGCGGCAATCCATGTGGTTTTGTGCACGATTGCTGTGCAGTCAGGTGTCGTCCAGGTGTGAACCTAGCCTTAGAAACTGTTCAGTGGTCAGTGCAGTACACACCGGTGCGGTTGCGTTGCATCGCATTGTGGTGCAGCAAACATACAGCACGTCACGTTCCGGAGGATTTGCTGCTTGCCAACTGCCATTCATGAAACAGAAATGTGTCTTAACCGTACCTGTAGCAGTTACTGCACAATCATGAAGCATTTTTTAAGAGTTTGCAAGGCAGTGGAGGTTCCTTATATATGTCAGGGAAATCCAAACGGTGTCCATAGTACAGCTTCTGCATGGATTGCTGCATGAGCCACTCCGCAAATATGTGCGGGTAAAGCTTTATAATGCCAACATTGCATGCGCACACACACGCACATGGATGGAAATGCACGTGTATCCGCAAAGCACAGCGTGCACACCCCCATTCCTGCCAGTGGTGCCAAGCAGGCTATTTAAAGATGCTTGCTGCAACTGCACGTTGCTGACAGAATCTTCAGTTGTATCTTGTGTTATCGCCTGATTCTGCTCCTGAAATCTGTGTTTGACCCGGCTTGACTTCTGATCCTGCTGCTTTCTGCCTTCCTTCTGTCCTCGGCTTGCCCACTGACCATTCTTCTAACTCCTGATCCGGTACTGCTCTGTTGGCAAGTTATTGACCCAGCCTGCCCCTGACTTTGCCTTCCTTCTGATTCTGTACCTCTTTGCCTGCAAGATACCGACCTGGCGTCTCTCCAACTTTACTTACCTCCCTGCACTGGTGCTGTTCTACCCGCTGCTGGTATCTTCTACAGATGGTCAGACTCCTCAGCTTTCTATAGTATACAATCATCTGTGTCATCAACACTGGTGTCCTCAGAATCTGTATCAGCTGCAGGCACTTGTGCCCGTCTGTGTCTGTACACCTTTTGTACCACCTGCAAAGGGGAGGGCTACCTCGTCACTTCTGGCTCACAGCAAGGTACATGACAATACTGTATCTCAGAAAGCACTGGGAAAAGATAGAGGAGAGGAAAGGACAGCTCCAGTAGCCACTTCCTTTCAGTTTTATACTGTACCAGCACCACCCAGTACCAGTGCCTGTACTGCAAGTACCATTGCCAGCCAGTTCCTCTACATCACTTCCCCTTTAAAAAAACAAAAACAAAAAAAACACAGAGAGGGTGTGTTGAGCAAGCGTATTCATTTTTGTTTTATAACTCATGACCTAGAAAACGATGCCCACAATTCTTGCTGCAAAACAAATTATTCAAAATCCAAAACGATTTTTCCACAGATGGCTTTTGGTGTGAAGCCTTAGCAGGGAGTGTTGGACAATTTCTATGGAAAAACATTTTTTGCCTATGCAAAAACAATCTGACCTAAAAATATGGAAAAAAGCAGAAGAAAACTGATTTACAAATGGCATAATTATATGTAAAATAGTCAAATGTAAATTTGGAGAGAAGTGATGTCATCACATATTTGCAGATTAATGGAGTTGGAACATTTGTAATGAGATCAATGCTGCAATTCATAACTGCTATTAAATACAAAACACATGTTACAGCTTATCCAAACCCAAAAGCAAACATTTAATATATTGCAGCTTATGAATCCTTAAATGTGGTGGCTGCATTAATTTTTTAGGCTTTTTTCACCTGGTGATCTGGCCAGCAATTCTGTTATTTTTCAACTTCCTTTACCAGACCAAGCTGTCCAGCAAAAGGAGCAGATAGAGGGTTGAGACGAATCATTTCAATGGTTAGCGTTTATATATTTATGTAAAACCTTCATCCCAAATGGGAAAAAAACTGCCACTGCAACTGCTTAAAAATAATATCTGGAGTTTGTCTTCAATTTGTTAGTCAATTCCATCTACCATCTCCACCGGTTTACAATGCTGCTGTTCAAGGGTGTCTCTTCGGCTCCTCCATAGAGTGGAGCCACCTTAAGACAGGAAGTGTGTTACTGACT